TCTGAAGTGTCCCAAAAATAAAATGGTTGGCATCTGTTTAAATTTATTTCGGAATTTTTTACCATCGGCCTGTGCGCGTCGACGTACGGATATTTGTAAGTAGTAGGTGTCTGCTTTAAAAGATATCTAAATATAAACGTTCTTTCCACAACAGTGACGTATGCGTATTTATAGAATGGTAAATAGAAGGACCAATAACCCTTCTGTACCAGCTACACGCCGGCAATACTGTAATTTTAGGGGAAAATATGTTACGTGTGAAGAATACATAAAGGGGGCCTATATAAATCACGTTAGACGGTTTTGAGAGATTTTTTGAAGCTTTCACTCTTCAGTTTGTATCAAAACTTATTATTAGCCACATACTTTTGCTGAAAATATGAATATACCTGATTTCATATGCTTTCATATGCAGGAATATACCTGACAAAAAATTTATTTAATTTGACCTCGTGTGATATTCGGTAAGAAAATTCCACGCCAATTTGTGTTTGAAAATCAAATAATTAAAATGTATTTCTCGATTTTTGGTCGACTTGATTATTTAGTTACTATAAACTGTTGATTTCTACTGATTGTAGTAGCTCAAAAGTGCCATTTTAGGACCCTTCTTCTTCTTCTTTTAGAAGGCGTATCGCCTGTTTAGTTCAGGTTTCCTCCTCGTCTAAGCAACTCTTGCGAGGTTGACTGCCAACGTTTAGGTGGTCGTCCAGTAGGTCTTCTGCCATGGGGTACGTTGTTGCGAATTATTATGGCCATTCTGTCGGGGCCCATTCTATTGACATGCTGGTTCCATTCTCTTCTTCTCTGCCTTATCCATCTGACAACGTCGTTTGTTTGGCACTTTTCTCTTATGTCTACATTTCTCTGTCTGTCCCTCAATGTGTATCCAGTTATCATTCTTAAGGTCTTCATTTCAGTAGTTCGTAGGATTCTCTTTGTTACTGATGTTTCAGCTCTGGTTTCCGCACGATATGTCATCACTGGTCGTATGCAGGTTTTGTATATTCTTGACTTACATTCTGTACTCAAATGTTTGTTTTTCCATATGGGATATTTAAGATGTCCTGATATTGCGGCAGCTTTATTGGCTTGTTTCCTTACTTCTTCTTCCAGAAATCCTGAGCTTGTAATTTTGCATCCGAGGTATTCGAATGACATTATCTGATCAATAGTTTTGTTTTTTATTACCAATTTGCACCGTAGAGGCTCATTTGCAATGGTCATGCATTTTGTCTTATTTGTGGAAATTTGCATGTTAAGTTTTTCTGCCTGTCTGTTAAAAGCTTGTAGCATTCTTTGGAGGTCGTCCTCTGACTCTGCAATAAGTACTGCGTCATCGGCATAGCATAATATGTTTACTTTATGCATTCCCATTCGATATCCTAATCCAGTTTAGGACCCAAAATATTATATTCTTTCATTTTATAGTTACTTGGGTGGTTACAAGTGATTGAAAATCTTTTATGGTTACAAGTGATTGAAAATCATAATTTAAAAGGTTTTTCGGAACGCTGGCGCTGCATGAACAGCGCGTCACAGTTTTGGCTGCAATTTAGACCTTTAAATTGTTGACTTCTACTCATTGTAGTTGCACAAAAGTACCATCTCAAGACACTACACAATATATTCTATAATTTTACATAAGTTTTGAGTAACTACAAATGGTAGCATTTTCGTTGGAGGATAATGTCATATTTATTTCAAACCAATAATCAACGAGAATATTCGCATAATTTAATAAAATTACTCTAAATCACTATAAATAATGAACAAAACATGTAAACAAAAACAGACCAAACGAATCGTTGGTTAGGTTCAAATTTTTTCTCTTCTTAAATACATTTAAGAGGCGTTAACATTATTAAGCATTTGCACAAAAGTGGGTATTTTGAGTGGTATTCCACAAAATTATATAACAGCATCACAGACAGCATTATATGCCACTTTTTCAAACATTTCCTTCAAATCCTTCAATTCAATAGCTGTTAGTGCACATAATGCACATACAATTTTTTTATAAATCTTTTAACTATTGTATGTATTTGCAACACTAAATTCTATTTAAGTTTGGATACGCTACTGTTGGCAAAGCTATTTTAGTTTGTACCAAAATATAAACAGCAGATTTCTGTAGGTTGTTACGCATAGGCTACATCAGACAGATCTAATAAACAACCTAGACGGTTTTTGTTGCTGGTAATCGTCGTTAACTTATCCTAGACAAACTGTGTAAACAAACATACAGGAAAACGTATACAAAATGTCCGAATCGTGAAGGTTGTACCAAAACACCCAAATTTATAGGCCCAATTGAAAAGATCAATTTTATATCGGCATGTATTTATATTAATTATTTTATTTAAAATAGTTAACATGAACTTATTTACATGTTGGTTTTTTTTCTCTCTTTTTTTTCACCTTGTGGTATTTATGGAATAATAAATTCTCATTTACTCAGCTCAGGATCTCTACTACCAGAAATCATCAAAAGAATTTAGTTAGCATTGAGTAATTATGGAAAAAACTCAATCATATTCAAAAAAAATCTAGAATACTACTCTACCTAAAGCAGAAAACGTTCGACCAATGTGTACTACCTATGCATGCACAACCTCTGGACACTTAAAACGGACATTATAAGAAAACTTTAGGTCGTACAATGCTCAATGGAACGAAATATGCTGGAAATAACCAAGAAAAACCGTAAAAAAATAGAGTGAATACGACAAAAGACCCAGGTAATGGATGTCATCCACAGAATCAAATCCCTAAAGTGGCAATGGAGAGGAACCTGGCAAGAAGGACGGACAACAGATGGACTACAAAAATTACAGCGCGGTACCCACGAGAAATTAGGAGACCTAGAAGAAGACCTGAGACCTGAGATGGGACCATAATAATATTAAGTAATTAGCAGCGATAACTTGGGCACTCATAGCCAAAAATAAACAACAATGGAACCAATTGGTCGAATTTGAAAAGATTATCAGAGGAAGACTTTCAGACAATTAATACTTGGTTTGTCAAAAACAAATTAACATTAAACTATGACAAAACCAAATTTATATCCTTCTCTATTTATAAAAATAATGAACCAGATTGGGACAGATTACAAATAACCAATAATAATGTAATACCGGAATGTGATTCTATAAAATATTTAGGGGTTACAATCGACAAACTTCTTAAATGGAATATTCATATTAATAATGTAACTAAAAAATTGCGAGGATTGTTGCCGAAATTTAATTATTTGAAAAGTTTTTTTGGACGTCAAACAGCTTAGAATCTTGTACTCATCCCTTGTACAATCTCATTTGACATGTGGAATTCTAGGGTGGGGTGGTGCGGCTGAATGTCATTTAAAGGGCTTGTATTCTGTTCAAAAATGGTTCATAAAAATTATTTACAATAAAAAGAAAACTTTCTCTTCAAACATTCTCTTTAAGCAGGCGCATCTACTGGATATACGTCAGCTATACTGCCTAGATGTTTTAAAATTCATTTATCAGGGAAATATATCTATTGAACATGTTGACCATGAATATGAAACTAGACATAAGGCGTTTTATCCTAGTTTATGCTCTAAAACTGTTGGACAAAGATCTTCAAAGTTTTTTGCACCTCGCTTATATAACATCTTACCAACCTTCCTAAAGGAAGTTAAAAGTTACTCTGGGTTTAAAAAAGTGGTATGCAAATGGATGGTTGATCGAGGTAGAAATATATTTAATGACCTAGTTAACTTAAAATATACAAAATAAATTTTCATAAGTGCCAGTGAACATTATATATTGTCATAATTATTGTATTCCTCTCCACATACAAGTAATTCTATTACTTTGTGGCAATCCTTATAACGTTTATTGCGATTCTTAAAATTTAAATTTAGTTTTAATTAAATTTTACTTAGATAATGTGTATTAGATATATTAGTATATTATGTTATATTGTAGGTACTGTACTATTTTGTATCTGTTTTAATTTCAAGAGAAAAATGTTTAATAAACGTTATTATTATTATTATCAATTACAAAGAGAGTATCTAAATATGTGAGGGAGGCTGTATACACCATAATTGTAAATGGTTGAATAAGCTGAAAATGATGATGTTTATCTCGCTAATCTTTGAACATTTAGTTTTATTTAATATATTTACGAAAATAATGCTATCAGAGCTAGCAAAAACTGTACCCAAAATATTAATATAGGTTTGATTTTGGTAACTCCTTATTGTCATAAACTTTACAAAAATTATCAACATTATAATGGGAAATTGTAATGTAAATTTTCAAGTCTCAATTTTTATATTATGTCAAAGTGATATTTTTCATAATTATTTGGGTTCTGATACCCCGATTGTAATAAAATATTGTAGCATCGAAAAAAAAACGGCATCATAGTCGGCTCGGTAATGCCAATCGCTCATAATTTTGTTGAGTGGTGAACCTCTAGACGTTGTTTACTAAAAATTGACATAAAACTCATGTCAAAATTAACACTACTTATAGAAAGATTAAAAAAGTTAAACTACACCGTTTAAAAATCATTTTTACTCGATAACATAAAAATAAATTAAAAATTTCTTAAAGCCAAATGGCCAGTAAGCGCTATTAAAAATATAGAACAGTACGGGGTTAAGTAATGACGTCCAGGGCTTGACCTCGCCAAAATTATCATCGGTTGTCATTCCCCAGCCTTCTATGACGCCGTTTTTTCGATCGTATAGTATTTTATGTAAAAATTTGTACTTTTCAGTCCACCGTAAAGTTCAAGGGGTAATTATTAATAGATGTTATAACAAAAATGTATTTAATAGAGTTAGTGTTAATGTATTAACAATTTGTTTTATTGTTAATATAGTCAGAAGCTAGATAATTGTCGGAGATAACATAAGTATTAAGGAAATTTTGGATATACTCGTCTAAAATCAAAGACTGCATATTTATTGTGTCTGGTTTGACTAAACTAAAATAAAATTAGATAAAAATACATACCTTGGTGGAAACTGGCAAGTGCTGAGCTGGGGAACACTCGCGAGAGTCTGTGAAAAAATAAACATTAGTTTAAAATAAATTCGGAATTTTAGTTGAAATTATTTTAGACATTTTTCTCCTACCCAAAGTTAAATCAATATTTTAGGCTCAAAAATAATTCAAATATTGGTTTTTATTAACTTAACCAATATTTGATATTGGTTAAAAAAATTATTAACCAATGTTGTATATTCAAGCAATAAAAAATAAAAAAAAAATGCAAATACACCAATAATTTATCAATAATTTTGATTTTTTTGTAGTTATTTAAATTTTAGTTATGCCTAAAGGCATAGAAAATTTCCATAAAATAATACAGATGTTTGAGTATATTTAAACATCTATTGGTGTTAAAAAGCCAATCCATTTAAATTAGTAAATTTACATATTTTGCTTCTTTAATTTTAATCTCGCAGCTGTTCCGTTTAAAATTCTAATAAGCCTTATTTACAGTTACCTAATACTATCAGAAATTGTTTTCAAGTCATTTTGCAAAATTGTACAGGGTGACCAACTAAGAATGGACTCCTGCTGCATCTCAGAAACTATTTATCGTATATAACTTGCCGAAAAAGTTATTGGGGATTTAAATGGAAGTAGTTTGGATATGGCGTTTGTCGCCTCAGCCTGAATATCTGTTGGTAATTTAGTTATTTCGTTTTGAGCCATTTCTGCAAATCAACAATCGACACGAAAGAGAATTAAAAAATATTGACTCAAAACTGATAACTAAAGAGATAGATTTATTTGTTAAATTACATAGAAACCAACGCGCGCCCCCCCTCAATCCAGGACAATATTTTTCCTACTCGTAATAAATTCCTTGAAATAATAATTTCTGAATATTTTTTAAAACGTAACTCGCTATGGAAATAAATATTGTTTTGTACACGACGATAAAATACAGTTTTATCGTTATTTTCATTTCAAGTAACTGTGGTGACTATAGTGTGTCTACGGTTTGAGTTACAACGAGTTATAACTCATCATACAGTCTCAGGGCTTTGACAAAAGCCAGTATTTGAGACGGCTTCACAGAGGCTAGTTCTCCATCTCCAATACCAGTCGTACCAAAGTTTATGGCGTCACAATCCAAAGATTATTCTTACTTAAATCAAGAAAAATCTTCCTTTTGAAGCACGTTAGTGGTTATGTTCCACTTCCGAACTCTAGTGATTAAAGGTTAATCCACTAATTAGCAGCTTCTACGTTTATTTTCATATTTCCGGTCCAAAAAGCTCTCCTACTTGTGCTCCTGCGTTTCTGCAAAACCAATTCACTTTTAGCTATTTTTATCCCTTGTCATAAACCAAGATTTCTGTCGTTTTTCCCGAAAAAACTGCGTCCGAAATCCTCCATCGCTTTGCGAACGCTTAATCTGTATTTGTATTGGAAACGCACGTATCGACTTAGGAGCGAGGCGTGGCTTTACGACAACGGATTACACGCATTTCCTACAGAAACAACAAACTTCTCACGTAGTACGGTCAAAAATTTATGGTCGACGCCGGTACGACGGCCTCTGGCATGGAGTTTTTTGGTTGTGGGTGTTAGATTTCGTTCTAGGCTCGGTTTTGTGTCGTGTAACGCGATAACCCAGAGCGCCAGTCATTTCCTATCATCGATACATTGTCTATGGTATTGTATTTAAATTAGAATAGCGTGCAACATTTGTATACAGTAGAGGAACGAAGAAAGAAGAAACTCGAGGAAATTTCTCAGAACTTACAACCGAGAAAATTCAAAGGAAGATTTTTAACAATCTTCAAATTGTCACGGGATTTTTAAAAGGACGAGACAGTGTCCTGAATGAACACCTAACACCTCAGTAGTTTGAAGACTTTGGTACTTTGGTACGGCTGTTATTTGAGACGGAGGACTAAACCCTGCAAAACTATGTAACTCTCGTATCAAAAAAATTGTCAGACAAAATATTATATTGTTTTATTAGGAGTAAAAATGACGTTTTCTTTCGGCGAGGCTGTACGTTTGACATACAGCCGAGGCACAAAATAGGGTTCCCAACCGTCCCGGTTTGGCCGGGATTAACCAGGAATCAGAAAGTTTGTCCCAGCGAAAGTGTTGCCTTGGCCGGGACCTGGAAATTAAAAAAATGTGTACTACACACATACTATATTTTATTTTCTAATATTTAATGTCTTGCTTCAATTATTTAAAAGCTTAAAAATAAATGTCCCGGAATCGCCGATGCTCAAGTTGGGAACCCTACCACAAAAAGTCATTTTTACTCCCAATAGAATATTCTAATTTTTTTCAAACGCCACAAATAATTTTTAAAAAATTTCAAACGTTCCAAATAATACAAAAATACTTAAAGTCATACCACAGTTTAAGGAATATAAAATATATATTTTATATTCTTTAAACTGTGGTCATACCTTGTATGTAATTATACAGACCAGACCACCGTAGTAGTAACATAGGCAGAACCGGACGAATTAGCGTATACCCGTCCGCCGGATAAAAAGCAAGCGAAAAAATGCGATAAAATAAAAATATGTCGATATGTGATAAGAATGTTTCAGAATTTGTATTTATTCGTGTTTTAATAGCCAAAACGAATACGTAGATTCTCGCGACAGTTCTCGTGTAAAATTTATTTTTTAAGCAAAATAATGGATGTTTATGAAGTTCGTGAGAAAATTCAAATTGTAAAATGGTATTTCCAAAATAGGTTTTATCGGAATATACAAACAATTTTTCCACAAACTTTTGTAAACAGGCCAATTCCATCTTTATCTACTATATCAAGAGTTATTAATAATTTTGAAACACATGGGTGCGTGTCCCCACAAAAACACAAAAAGCCTGATGTGTTGATTAATGAAGAACAGGAGTTAAAGGATTTCCAGTAATCAAATTTGCTGAGGTGGTTGCCCTGCCCACGATGCTCGTATTGTTTAAGAATATTTGAACAATACTTTTCCCAACCGTTTATTTAGTGGACATGGAACTATTTTGTGGCCCGCTGGTTCGCCAGGTCTTTCTCCTAATGATTTCTTTTTGTGGGATTATGTAAAATCCAAAGTGTATGGTCATAATAGGGCTAATAATCTGGATGAGTTTCAAGTAAAAATACGAGAGGCTTTCCAAACTATTAGCCCTAATATGTTAGCCAATGTCAGACGGGGATTTTACGACCGCCTCTGTCTAGCACAAGAAGGTGGTCTTTTTGAACACTTGTTATAACTTTTTTTTATATTATGTAATATTATAGTTTTTTTTGGGTTTAGAGAATTTATTTATTTTTAGTTTTGGTTTGTAAACACACTCAAATAATAAATATTTAAGTATTTTTATTTTAAATGTTACCTTAAGTGAATGTAAACACTTAAAATGAAAATAATAAATACACGGCACTCCTCGCGTCATATTCCTAGTCTGTCACGACCGACCTGTCCAAGCACAACAGCAACTGCGTACTGCCTGACCAGCCGACTAGCCGGCAGTGACTCTCGAGTACGAATGCAAAACGGGTAAACGTAAATTCGTCCGGCAACTTGCTATGTTACTAGTAGCCTGGTCTTCTCTGTATATCGAGAAACTATGCTTACGCTTGTTGAATTTGACACTTTATGTCAGTTTAATAATATATTTTTGTACTTTTATAAAGCAAAAAAAGGCGTAAAAGTGTTTTATTTTTATGCCTAGGCGTTAAAATGACTTTTTTATATTGTCATTCACGTCGCTAACATTAATACTTCTCTGACGTTTGAAAAAAAATTATTTAAAAATTTTCTATGTAAAAAATGTATCTAGGAAAATCTTGCAAGAGTGTTGTGCAAGACCAAGAGTACTTATTTACTAGAGTCTTGGTCTTTTTGGTCGTACAGAAAAAAATCGTATCCATTATTACTAACTTTTAGTTTTGGTGCGGTATGTGTTAAAGACCAACAGCATATGACTGGACTGTTTCGTTCATATAGTTATTAGTTTAACACTATTAATTGCTCTTTGTTTTGTAAACACAAAACAAATTTAGAAGAAATATTATTATAACTAGTGATGAGTGAAATATCGGTAACTGTGACTTTGTCACTGATATTCTATAATCACAGTCACGGCCTGTGACTGATTTGAAAATAAACGGTGACTTGCTAAAGCGTGACGATTACAGTTAATTGTGACTTCTTTGGTAACGAGAAAATACTTCACAGAGCGGGACGTCGCGCGTCGCGAACGCAGCTGCCGATGGCGCCTGTCGTGACTCAGTTCACAGTCACGAGTCACGACGTACGTCTCATAGGATAGATATCTGACAAAGTGATCTAAAGACAGTGACTGTTAGAAGTGATTTAATTTTTTATGTATTTTATATTTTATTACTATTTTTTATCACTACTAATCGGTTTGGTTCCTTTTTAGTTTAGCAGGTTTTTTTAAAGCCAAACATAAAGTTTTACCTTTATACTGTTTATTTTTTTTTAGAAACTTATTTTTTTATATATTTCATTTATTTTAATACAAAGGAAAATATTTGTTGTTTAATGTATTACTTATCTCGTGTTGTTAAGTTTCGTTCGTTATGGTTATGAGCATATTGCATATTTTATTCTTTTCCCAATTTCTTTTAATAAAAAAATTGTTTATTTTTATTTTTTAATATACCTTTTACCCACTGTTTAGTGTTTTCTATTTCAGCGGCCTTGGATAAAGAACAAATAAAAATTAGTATAACAACAACAACAGAATCGTATCATTCGTATCGTATCTTATATTTTAGCCGTAATTGTGCTTTCGGATTCATAATCATAAAGTCGCAGTCACAGTTAAGAGTCACAGATAATACAAAGTCGCTGTCACAGGTAAGCCTGTGAACAGAAAATCACGGTTTGACTCATCACTAATTATAACTTACCTATTAGACAACTCGAAGGGATGAAGAACTCTTTCCACGTCTCCGAACAGCTTGAAGCATTGGTTTGAACAGGCAATAGAGAAGAATCAGCCTGAAACAATACACAACATTTAATATAACATATTTTTATTATTTATTTAACAGCAAAAATAGTTACTTTTTAAGACAATAAAATGGTATTTTACGAGTAGAAAAAATATTGTCCTGGGTTGGCGTTGGTTTCTATGTAATTTGACAAATAAATAAAGCTGTCTCTTTAGTTGTCAGTTTTGAGTCAATATTTTTTAATTCTCTTTCGTGTCGATTGCTGATTGAATTGGAGCCAAAAATGGCTCAAAACGAAATAAGTAAATTACCAACAGATATTCAGGCTGAGGCGGCAAACGCCATATCCAAACTACTTCCATTTAAATCCCGAATAACTTATGAAAAGGAATACAAAAATTTTCAAAAATGGAAGCAATTAAAAAACGTGCCAGAAGAAATAAAGTGTTTAACTTATCCTCGCTGTTAAAATATCATTTAATCTACCCTTGCTGTATCCAACGGTTCATCATTTGTGATTTCCATCCTCTAATATTTGTATTTCTTGCAGCACTTTATTTTCTCCCTTCTTCTAGTATTAGATCTTGTTGTTCTCCTCCGATATACATTAATATATTCTGTTTTGTAAGTATTGATCTCGAGTAATTATATGACATTTATAGAAGAATATCTTTAACCAAAGTACTATTTTATCTACTATTTTTCATTTAGTATACCTTTTCAACTAATAGTGACTTTCTCAGTAGTGAGAGTACACATAACGTAACACATTATCAATATAAAACTGCTATACAAAAGGGCAAAACCTGGACAGATCTTAAAAAAAACTAAAAAAGAGTTAAACTGGTATTACCACAAAACTTTACATATTTCAGCTAAGATAAAAAGAATCTATTTTTAAAGTAATTTAATTACTTATTAATCTCTTTCAACAATGTTTATCAATCAAGAGCTATCCGTCATCCAAATATAAATACCAATTCATAGTATATATCACCGGTTGTTGACAATAATAGCACCATAAATTCTAATTAAAAATAAAATTTATGTACTTCCAAGACGCCAAACAATGTTTGTTTCTTCTTCTACTTGTTTGCTATCTGTCGTCTTCTCTGTGTGTTTTATCTTTCCTCTATTTAGTTCCTGAAACACTGTCCACAAAAGCGACGTTGTCGATAAGCCAATAATATAAGTTCTACATTATTATCTTATAAATGTGGCAATTATTAAACTATTACATAAAATTCAATCAGAAGAAGTCAAAAGGCATTATAAAATTTTAAAATTGAGGCGTCAAGTTGCAAAACCCGCCTTATGATATAAAAAAATGCCTAATGACATATATTAAGAGTGGACCCTGAAAGCTACATAAACATATTTCCAGACTGCATTAAAAGTTGCCTATTCATATATAAAACTTACTACAAATTATGTTACTGCAGCAAAATTTGTCTTATCCACTTAAATTTGCTTTTTCGTTATTTTTGCAAATCCCGCATTTTTTCATAGGCTTTTTCCACAAGTATAATATTAATTTTTGTACTATAAAAAATTGTAGAAATATGGAAGTACCCATAGGGGGATAACAAACTGTGCTTCGCGGACGATCAGATGCTCATAGCACAAGATTACTATGATATAAATTATATGACACGTAAATTTATAGAAGAATATCAGAAATAGGGACTCGAGATCAATACTAACAAAAGAGAATATATGTGTACCGGAGGAGAACAACAAGACCTAATCCTAGAGTAAGGGAAGAAAATTAAGTGCTGCAAAAATACAAATATCAGGGGATGGAAATCACAAATGATGAACTGTTGGATACAGCAAATAAAGAACGAAACTAACTTGGAAGGAATGCTATCACGGTATTAAATGGGATACTGTGGGACAGAAACATAAACAACAGGAACAAAACAAATGTGGCCAATTAAGGAAACAACAAAACGAATGCTGGAAGCTACAGAGACGGATTTTTGGAGGAGAGCAGCAGGCAAATCAAGACTCGAACGAATAACTAATGAACGCATAAGTGAGATTATGGAAGTTAAACATACAATAGTGGACGAGATAAAATACACACAACTCATCTGATACGGGCATGTCCAAAGAATGACAGAAATAAGAATTCCTAAGCAAATCATAAACTGGAAACCTGCAGGAAGAAGAAATCCGGGTAGACCGAAAAGAAGTTGGCAGGAAGAAATTGATACTTTTATGGAGGAAAGAGCTTTCGGAGACGGTGCATGGAGAGATGGATTTGGAAGACGTTACGATATTACTACTGACAACAAACAAACCCCGCAAACAAAACAAACACGCCCATATGCATCATACTGCAACAAACCCCGCCTTACCCGAATTATTTTTGTTTTTTCTCTTTAAAAATTAAATATTCATTTATATTTCTAGAAAAACGAGACACAAAGCAATGATTCCACTCATTTGGTTCCAAAAATATTTACTAACTAACAATTCCTTCCATAAAATCAACATGGCAACGCTGTCTGGGCAAAGAGAAGACCGGGAATAGTTCTATTCCGACTCTATTAAATAAATCTTTCCTTATCTTTGTTTTCCAAGTCGCTGTCTAGCTTGCCAGAGCAATTTCTCTATAAAAAGAGCTAAACCAAGCTCTATCCTCGCTAGTTTTATGGGTCCCTTTCCCTCTAGATGAAATTGCTCAATTTAATTTTGGCAAAAGTTTTTTTTTGTGTCCCTACCGAAAAAAAAGAATCTATTTGCCAGATTGGGATATGTAGATGTGGGTCGTGTATACGGATAACTATAAAATGGAGAGAGATTTATTAAGTGATAAAGAAAGATTTTTATCAAGATTATATTGGCTGAGAGCTATATATAAATATACTGAGTGAAGATTTTACGTACACGTTTTTTAATTGCTTCCATTTTTGTATTCCTTTTCATAAGTTATTCGGGATTTAAATGGAAGTAGTTTGGATATGGCGTTTGTCGCCTCAGCCTGAATATCTGTTGGTAAGTTACTTATTTCGTTTTGAGCCATTTCTGGCTCCAATTCAATCAGCAACCGACGCGAAAGAGAATTAAAAAATATTGACTCAAAACTGACAACTAAAGAGACAGCTTTATTTATTTGTCAAATTACATGGAAACCAACGCCAACCCAGCACAATATTTTTCTAAGTACTCGTAATAAATTCCTTGAAATAATAATTTCTGAATAGTTTTTAAAATGTAACTCGCTATTAGAAAAAATATTGTTTTATACACGACGATAAAATTGCATTTTATCTTGTATAAAAAATAACTAATAATAATTTGATTTTGATGTGAATATGACTCCTATTAGTAGAGGGCGCCATCCAAAAATTTTTTAACTGTTTTGAAGGCTATATAATAACTTTTCATCCGTACCTGTATAAAACTACTGATTAAAACATATACATTTACGATGTTTTCTACGTAAAAAAAGTCTCTTGGTAAAAATCGCTACGAATTATGGTTCTCGAGATATTTGGAATTGAAATTATCAATACCTGTCATCATTGACATAAATTAAACATGTTAAAACAGAAACTGTTTTATCATATGTTTTTCGAAGAGAAATTTATGATTAATTTAAAAAAAATAAAAAGTTCTCAAATTTATCATTTCAGTCCAGTCTGTTTTTTGTCAATAATGACGTGTGAATGATGTTTATCAGTGAGACATGACAAGTCAGCTTTTGGACTAATCCTAAAGCTGACTTGAAAGACCTGAAAACATGTGAAAAAACCAATCCAGCTTAAACGATTCAATATTACAACTACACGCTAGAGTGCATAATTCTACTTTATGCCTCGAAACGTCTTCAACTTTATTTTATTTTATTCTGATCTCATACGAAGCCCTTTTACGACGACTGTCGAAAATTAAATTTCGGAGGTACGACTTCCTTCCAGTTTTAATACGTCCTTTAATTAAATGAAATTTGACATACTCGTCTCGTCTCTTGAAAATGACAATTATTCTTTCCTCGCTAGACATTGAAGTTAGTCACTAACAACTTCCGATGGTGATATACGATCAAAAACATAAAATCCTAGAGGACATTAAAAATATTACAATTTCAGAGCAACCTTAAATTGTATAGAACAAACTTTAGTTTTGTACTTAGACACTATTGACACACACGCACTATTGCCGGACCATTTATTAGACACATATTGTTTTGAAAGAACGAGATTTGTGTCCTTTGAAATACTAAAACAAGTATGAAAAAATTGGCAACACCGTAGACATAATATATTAGAAGTAACGTCTTAGTTCGGCGGTCACTTGCTTTGATCTTTGACATCTTAAATTTCGCTATGCTTTGCCGACATCCCAACTACGTGCGTCATATAACTTTGAAAACTAAGACCGAGAGCAGAAATTAAAAAAAAACCTGCTTGAGCTGTATATGTTAAAATTAGAATGGTTAGTAAAATTTAATTAGATTTAATATAAGAAACAAATAACGAATAGGCAATTTATTACGCAGTCCTATTCTAACATGTAATTATTAATGTATAAATTAAAATAAATGCAAAGATATTAAATAAAATTTCTTAAATCTAAAATAATAATTAATGTAAATAAATTAATGAAAAAACTGCTTAATGCAAAAAACGGGTCTTTTTTTATTTGAGACAGTTTTTTCCGACCTTTATAAACTACATGTTTTAAAATATATTTTGTTTATAATATTCATGGTTAAATATCAATAATAGATAGTCACAAATCCAAAAAAATTAAAATATTTTGTTCGGTTTAAAATCATTTTTAAACCTCTAACGTACTAGGCATTCCTTCTCTTGTTTACTACAACATTTCCTTACATAAACTGAAAAGAGGAACAAAAAAGATGTCTGCCTATCGACCTGTTCTCACCTTGTTTGTATAAATCATTCTACCATCATATGGCTTGCCCTGAGTTTCCTGATGAAATCTATACTCCAAACGACCACTGATACCAATCTACGTCGAATACTTCATTAATTAAATAGATTTTAATCTTTAGAGAAATACAATGGCCAG